CCCCAAAACCCCAAAACCCCAAAACCCCATGGTGACAGTAATATGAATTATCTGAAAATTATAAATGGAAATTAAATTTACTGATATGAATTATTAAAGACCTAATTATCAATAATATTTCCAGCCAAATGATATAAGAAGGTTTAGTTTTACATGAAAAATACGTTTTAAATAAGTCATTAGGAAATGGAGCATATGGCCTTGTCTGGGCAGCTCTAGAAATAACTACTAAAGAGAAGGTAGCTGTAAAATTTGTAAGATTCAAGAGTATCATTTAATCAATAGATTTAAGACAAATCTGTATATGAGAAAGAAATTGAGATATTAAAATTAACGCTAGACAGTTTGCCAATCGGTAATTTTGACTTTTAATCTTACTGCTCATAGGACTTCCTGTTTTGAAAAGTTATGGGGTAGTCAATGATTAGTATTATATTGTCATGAATAGAATGGGACTAAGCATTTAAGAAATAATAAATACAAGAAAAGATAAATTTTCGATGAAAACAGTCTTGTAGATAGGTATTCAGCTTGTAAGTAGTACTTCTATCTCACTAACTAATATACAGATTAACTGCCTAGAACAACTTCATAGCATCGGCTACGCACATCTTGATATTAAACCAGATAACATTCTTATCTCCTCCAACAACCTTAATGATGCTTAATCGTCTATTATTCACCTAATCGATTTTGGAATTTCTTCAAAGCTGAGCGAGGGTGAAACAATGTTGAAAAAATGAAATAGAATTTTTAGTGGAAACATAGCTTTTAGTTCTGCTGACTAAATGAGTGGCAAATGTAAGATTCTTTCGCATTTAAATACAATTATATTACAGAGGCATAAAGAACAGATGATATCATTTCTACTCTTTATTTATTGATTTATCTTTCTGAAGGTAGTCTTCCTTGGTCTAATCAGAAATTAATTGGTAATATGGATGGTAGTTTTAGAGCTATTAAATAAGTAAAATAATAAATGCACAGCTACTTATATTAAAATCAGACCAAATGTAAAAACATTATTCATCTCATAAAATTTAGGTGTATTTAGAAAACTTTTGCAATATACTGATTAGATATAGGATGCAAGTTCGATTGACTATTAATATTATATTAATGAACTAATAAAAATATATCCAAAAAATATTAAGGGGATCAGTTGGGTCATGGACTGGTCTTAGACATCGCAAAACTGGTATAACTCTTACTTTGAAATGAAGCATATTTTCAATAACTTCTCTAGAATAAAATTTGAAGTATATAGAATAGACTCTAATCAAATACTCTCTACTCATCATGCAATGAGTAACAAAAATTAAAGCACTCTATTAGATTTTAACATTTTCTCTGGTAATATTTAGATGAGTGGGACTATTAAATAATAAAGCCAATAGAATTAAAATCCTAAATAGAAGAAATTTTCTCCCTTCAAAATCATTGACGATAGTCCATTCAATAATCCTTATGGTTTTAATCAGAGTTTACATTAAAGTGATAATATTGAGAAACAAAAAACCTTTGGAACATAAGTAAAGTAATAAATCAATAATGATGAGATTCGGTAGTATACAATAAATCGAAAAGAATAGGAATACTAAAAGTCTAAAAGTTAGGTTCGTGGCTTATAATAAGATTTAATAGGAGAGTCTAATTTAATTTAGAATTATAAAATAACGAGACCAGGCATTTAGTTGTAAGAAAAAAATGATAATACAATTAGCAGGGAAAGCAGTCCTTTTAGAATCTCTAATTAACTTAACAAAGTTACATATGATAAAATATCTAAAAATCAAAATTAAATCGACAATGAAATAAGAGTCAATTCAGGAATATTTAAGTTAAATCTCATAGATGCGGTAAAGGACATTCAAGATAGAAATTGTCTTATTATTGATTTGAAAAATTTAAAGTTCTCGCAGCCTTAAATAAATGTAGATCACTATCAAAATATTGTATCTAAATGTTAAGCATTGAATCTATGCGATAATAATTAAGATGATTTTAAAGATGAGATTGCTATTGATGAGTAAGATTTCGATGAAGGACTTTCTTCTGTGATTGATCATCGAGAATCATTTGTAATTAACTACGATCTTGGATAGCTAATGAATTCTAATAATATAAAGAATATAAAATATTCTAGAGAATGATATTTATATAAGTAAGATGAAATAGAAAAAGTCAACATTTTGCAAATAGAAAAATTAATATAATATTGCTTTGATGATTATTTATATATTCTATTAATTTAGCTTGTATATTTTATGATTTAACACTCATGGGGTTTTGGGGTTTTGGGG